TACACTTTTTTTCAAATCAAAATAGTGCAAAAGCACATGTCGAAAAAACACTTTATCGCGTTCCATTTTTCACAAAGCAAAAGAAATTGTTGTTTAGGAAAATAATTGTGTATGCTGACTGAATGTTATCGAGAAATGTCGAAATTAATCACAAACTACCTGTTTCGTTAGTAATGACTACTAGAACTGTTTGCATTGCCATCTAACATTTGCGGGCGGAAACTAAGTTAAGGTCCTAATAAAAATATTAGGAACAGTTTCCAATCGCCTTGACCTTGACAAATGTTGTCAAGGTCATGACTTTGAACAACATTCAAAAGGTTTTAACCGTCGGTCGAACACCTTGGGTACTAATGTTAATGGCAACAATATTGTAACTTTGAAACTTTTAACTCGAAAAATTTAATAAAAAAATATTTTATTAAGTATTTTGCTCTCGAGGTATGCTATAAGAATATGTAATGAGAAATGGGGGGCTCCATTTAAAAAATTCAAAGTGACCTTGTCTTGACCTTGACGATGCCACTTGAGGTCAAACCAATGATATCATCTTACGTCTCCCTCGAAATCTCAAAACTTTCAAATCCTGAAACATTTTTCCCTAAAATTTACTGTTCAAAAGATATTTGAGGTGATTAAAATGGGACACCCTGTATATAGGATATATCAAGTAGGTATATTAATTTGGGACTGTTTCAAATGTACACAGATCCAATCAACCGGTTCTCTGAGTTATCTAGTAATTACTAATTTACTAAATAAAGCAGAGCACTGATTGGTGGTGTGCAATTGAGTCTGTGTGCATTTGAGCCTCACCCATTAATAAAAAAACACGGCCGTGTTTTGAGTGCCGAGTTTTAAGCGTAAAAAGACCCGCAAGTGTTTACGTCTCTGAGCTAAACGGCCGTGTTATCTTACGCGAACCAGCTAGTTGAGCGAAGACAAGATCAAGCGCTGCGGTAACAGCGCGACGCTGAGTATGTGTCGAACAAAACAACGCGACCGTAAGCAACGCAACGTGTAAGCTTATTTGCAATTTCTTGGTCGATTATGGCATACCGTTTTATTTTTTTAATAGCATAAAGAATATTCAGTCTAATATAAAAATCTTAAAAAAATAATTATATGACAGAAAATTGTGTTTCTCACTAAAACAATAAAATTATGTCTTGATATAATAATAATTCATTGAATTAAAATTATATCGCACCATAATAAAAATGCAGAAAATATTTTTATTTTGCGACATAATAATAATTCAATGAATTAAAATTATATTGTTACTTAATAAAAATATGGAATTATTTTCATATTCAGATATAATTTTAAATTGGGAAATTAAAATTACGTCAAACATAATAAGAATAAAGAAATTATTTTTATGACGCGATATAATAATACTCGTAATTCAATGAATTAAAATTACATTGGGATATTATAAAAATTCGGAATTATTTTTATGTCTACGAATAATTTTACTTCGGTCAAATAAAATTACTTAAAATCTGTGACGTGGCGATTTTTGAGACATTGCTCGTCACTCAAATTACGAGGAGGAAGCCGAAAAGCACTTCTCTGGCTGACAATGGATGTCGCGTTCTAACTGTACACAAACGGGACGCAAAGCCCTGTAAGATTTGTGTAAAATTTCGTGTTATCGACAAACCGGCGCGAGGTCAAAGTAAGAAATAAGATCGACAGCAAAGAGAAATTTGTGCTGCCGCTCCGAGGGAAGGAAGCCTGAGAGAAGACCAAATCCGAGACCGGACCCTCCAGGTGAATCGTTTCTAGTTCACAGTAATAATCATGAGAGATAGATAGGACGAGCATATACAGCTAAATTGTTTCAAAACTAGAATCAAGAAGCTGTCAGAAGAAAATATTTTTCTTCTTCGGAAGATCTAAAGGGACATCGCAATCAGCTGTCGAAGTGGACGACCACGAGCTATCTCGAAGAAACCGCAAGGACGGAGTCGATCGACACCGCGGACGAGCGGAGGACAGCCACGACTGATGCGCAACGCTAGCCAACGAATCCTTTGTGACCAGAAGCGTCCTCCGAGCCGAGCGAAGACGTCGCGAGGCTCAGGAATCGACAACAAACAACGGCTGTCGACGATGCGAATCCTAAGAGCGAAATAACGATTCCGCAAGCTGCCGAAATCAAGAGCAGAGCTCTGTACCAACAAACAGGAGAGAAACCAGTGGAAACGGCTTTGAAACCAGCGAATCAGAGGCTGTCGGAAAGGAAAATTCAACCTCGAGGATAAAATCCCGCTTCAACGAGTCTGGAGCTCTCGATATAGGAACAACGACTGTGAAGAACAAGCCTATCCACTAGCCAAGGGATCTGACCGCTGCCGACGTAGGCCCGCCGATCTCTTTAGAGTCTTGGTGTGAACCTGGAGGGATCGCCGCACAATGGTCTGGCAGCCCTCGCTTCGTGCGCAAAACATGTATAACTTTAGAGAACAATTCTATCAAGTTCATATTTGGTATTTTGCAAGAATTACATAAAAATAGTATTGAGTTTCATTAGATTTGTATGAAGTTACCGAGTAGTTTTCTTAAAAATTGAGATATGTATAAAAGAGATATTAAGAATTGAAATTCTGCTTCGAACTATTAAATAAAAAAGGGCAAAAAATATTAATTTTTATTGATATTTGCATAATTTATTTTTTCATTTTAGATAGATATTGATTTGTTTTATAGACCGTAAAGTTGTAAATTTTAGTGTAAATTTTACTTTATGTATTTATGGGTATGTGTGTGTGTGTGTGTGTGTACCGTATGGCACTTTCCAAAATTTAACATGGTATGGCTCCAATATATATATATATATATATATATATATATATATATATATATATATATATATATATATAATTGCAAATTTAACTACAAATGAGTAAATAAATGATTTTTATCATGTTTATAATCATTAAAACATTTATGTTTATTCAGAGTCAGACTCGGTTTCACAGCAATTTACAATTGATCCAGCATCAATAAGTGGTTCAGATAAGAGATTCAAAACTGTACAATTAAATTTTAATGATTTTTTCTTGAATTTTTTGCGAAATGAATTTATTACAGAGTCTGATGATACTAGAAGAGCATTCAATAAATCTGAGTTACCATCTATTCGGCTTTTCTTTCCAGTATAATAACGCTTATAGTATATAAGATCTTTATGTCTTGATTCTAATGTCTTGATTCTTCGTATAAAAGATCTAAAGGGACTATTGCAACAGCCATAAATTTCGAACCGTAAATAAGTACTTTATGTACTGAAGAAGACATATAGTACCATGAGTACAAATTGACATGATTGCTGTCTCTTCTATATAAATTTTAAATGCCTCTATATTTGCAGCAAATCCGCAGAATAGTGTAATTAAAATATTTCTAAATCTTTCTAATAATTCAACGTCAAGTCCAGTAATTCGTGCTGATTTAAGGGGGTCATCCCGTGTGACGGCTTCAAAAAATCGATTTTTTTTTTTGCATAAATCTAATCTAGAGCATGCATAGAATATACTGGCAAAGTAATTTTCCAAAATTCGAAGTCATTGAAAAGTTACAGCAGTGAGAAGGTAAGGTGTTTTAAGCACGCAGCTGAGCGCTCGGCAGGATTTTACAAGCTGAGCCTTATGGTAATGA